AGCTGCTGCATGGTAAATTTTGGTCAATGACATGAGACAAAGTATATGTGAACTGCTGTATGAAAAGTGAATTTACTCTGTAAATCTTCACCCAAATCGTAATAAAAAAAAAAAAAAAAGAATCTGTATTCCTTGGCAAAGATGAAAACTGAAATCTGTATTCCTTGGTAAAAGACCAAAACTGAAAGATCAAATCAAAGATTTTTAGCTGCAAGTCTAGAATCTTTCTACCCTCTTTAGGCCATATGTGAACATATTTCAAAGGTGCTTAGGTGAGATTTACAGATGAGTCTCTGGAACCTCTAGGAACATCGCTGCATGCTTGCAGGCTTCTGCTTCTGATATAAAATGTGGAATTGATCTGTATAGCTGTCCTTGTATGTGGGCATAAGTAAGTAAGAACCAGAGTTTTCCTCCCCAAAGGAAATTCATTTCTCCCTTCTTCCTCTCCTTTTTTTCTTCTACTATCAATTTTTCCTCTTTCTTGTTTTTTCACACCAATATAATTAATAGTTGTTCATTGAAGCACATCACTCATAGATCTGGAAATAATTGGGAGAAAAATTATATTCAGAAAGATGACTTTCAACAATTTCTGGGATGTATCAGATACTTAATACATGTTACTTTTGCTCTCCTCCCTACCTGAGCTCCAGTCTACAACTCAACCACATATATTCATCAAATGTTGGAGCTTTATCTTTCACTGGAGAACTATTGTGCTACATATATTTTGTGTTATATTCAAAGAGTTGACAGAATAAAGATATGATTCACCCACATTTTTAAAATATTCACCAATTTATTAAATTTTACAAGATGAAAAATATCTATAGTGAAAAAAATACATTATTTTCTAAAACTGTCAGTGAAACATCTGATGCATACCTGATGTGATCAATGAGTTTGGCAGGGATAAAATAAAACTGCTACTTAAAATGCATTACCAACAACTATGTGACAATCTTATCTCCTTTGATTACAAAGACTCAATATTAACTCTGTGCCTCTGTGGTCAGCTTTTTGTTAAAATTTGTTTTAGTTTTCATATTTTTTTTTCTCATACAACAACCACATTCTGGTATGCTACTCCAACAACTAAAGTTGGATTCACAGAAAACTATGAATTTTGTCTTCCACATTCTTCCTTCTCCTTTCCATCAGTAAATTTTGCCTTTTCTAATTAAAAACTCACGCAACCACGTTCAAGGCATGTACTCATTCCAGCTTTCCACACCCATTACAACACAATTCATTTCTCAACTTCATAGAATCATAATTGCCAACCAGCAATATTCATGTACTGCTCTAAAAAAAAAAAAGTCTTACTTGCTTCCTAATTTAGTAAAGATATTGTTTCAAATTTGAAGTCAGGTAAGAGGAAGATGAAACCAAAGCTGGTCCTCATGGGGAATTGTTTCACAATAAAACTTTAAGGCCTTCTATTTAATTCAGACTTAAAAGGCCATTCCTACCTCCATTATGAAAAACAAAACAAAACAAACAAATAAAAATAGTACCTGCTATGATCAATAGTATTTAGTCACCTGCACATTTGTTTGGGTTTATGTCCTTGCCTTCTGAGAAAAAAAAATAGTATTTAAACACTAGTTCTTGATGAAAAAATTAAATTTTACTTTCACAAATATAAAAATGAATCAATCTCATTTATAGTAAAACGTTCCAACTTAAAATTTTAAGTATTTCATTACTAGATAGCAACAAAGGTAAGAATTTTCTAATGTGATCTTTATCACAACATTTTTTTATAAAAAAAGACCTTTTTAAAATTCCAGGAAGGTCAAAGTACCACAAAATACTCAAAGTCTGCACATCACAGGCAAAACCTTTAGCTGTTCTTAAAACATAAGTATAATTATACACAGAATAAAAGATATTTCAGCAGAAAGAAAAAGATGCCTTAAGAACTGTTTTTCTTTTTTAAAACTGAGGGACATGAGTGAGCTCTAATATCATTCTGTTTAGAAATGGCTTCATCCAGATCCAGTTGAACACCATTAATATTCACTTCCATACAGCCATTAAAATAGGCATTCACAGGGGCAGCACTGAAGGGAACATCTGTAGAAAGAGAATATTGGATTATTAACTCAAGACTTGTAGCATCTTATTTGCTTTCAGTTAGGGAATTTTTAGACTTCCAATTTCCAAACAAATTCTAAGCCCAAAGGAAAAGTTAATAATTCAATTCTATTCAATAAATATTTATTAAATGATTCCTATGTATAAGGTTCCTAGCTAGTCAGTTCCAACTCATGGCAACCTCTTGTATGTCAAAGTAGAACTGTGCTCCACAGGGTTTTCAAGGGTTGATTTTTTGGAAGTAGATCACCAGGGCTTTCTTCCCAGGCGTATCTGGGTAGATGAGAAGTACCAACTTTATTAGCAGCCTCATGTTTTAATTGAATGGAGGCAGTGTTGGTTTGGTGGTAGAATTCTCACCTTCATGGGGAGGCTAAGGTTTGATTCCCAGACAGTCGACCTCATGCATAACTGCTACTCTTCTGTCAGCAAAGATGATGTGATGCTAGACATGTTCAGCAGAGCTTCCAGATTAAGAACAATTAGAACATTTCACCAAAGAGGATATTCAGGTGGCCAACAATCATATGAAGAAATGCTCATGATCATTAGCCATTAGAGAGATGCAAATCAAAACAATGAGATACCATCTTGCCTTAGCACTAGTAGCAAAGTTCCACAAGAGAGAAAATAACAAATGCTGGTGAGGATGTGGAGAGATTGGGACACTCGTACACTGCTGGTGGGACTGTAAAATGGTATAACCACTATGTAAAGCAGTATGGCGATTCCTTAAAAAGTTGGAATTAGAAATACCATTTGACCCAGCCATTCCATTATTAGATATATATCCTAAAGAAGTCAGAGCCATGACAAGAGCAGACATAATCACACTCATGTTCATCACAGCACTATTTACAAAAGCCAAAAGATGGAAACAACCTAAGTCTCCTCAACTGAAGAATGGATAACCAAATTATGGTACATGCACACAATGGAATACTATGCAACCCTAAAGAATAATGTAGAATCTGCAAAACACCACATAACATCAATGAACTTGGAGAACATTATGCTGAGTGAAATAAGCCAATCACAGAAGGAAAAATACTGTATTAACCCATTATTGTAGAAAGTCAAGGAAAGGTTTATATAGGGAAGGATATTTTCATTTTTGGTTACCAAGGGTGGGAGGGGAGGGGAGGGAACACTGTTAGATAGGTAAAGACAGGTATTGATCTGGGTAAAGAGAAGGGCAATGTACCAAATGTAAGTGATCAACATGGTGGCATTGAAGAAGAGGAAGACATAGAGAGGTACATGGGAGGTACAGACAACAAAGATGACCCCTTTTCCACATACAGTACTGCACTGACAGTGAAGGCAAACATGGATAGATAGATGGACAGGCTGAATTGCTAGGTATGTCTATGCAGGGGGGAGTGTGCCCAAGACCATGAATGGGCTTGGCAGACAGTGTTTCTACAAGTGTACTGGTCAATGTCATGAGACAAAGTGCACATGAACTGCTGTATGGAAAGTGAATTTCACAATTAAAAAGAAAAAAAGAAGAATTAGAAGAAATCTCTGATAATCTGCTTCTAAAAATTAGTCAATGGAAACCCTATGGATCAAAACACTGTGATCTACAAGCAATCATGGGTTCAAGCAGCATTTTACTCAGTTGTGCATGATGTTTCCATGAGATGAGGGTCAACTCAGTAGAAGCCAACAACAATATAAGGTATTGTGCTTGCACTGAATTGAGCATATAATGACTTCTTGTGTGTTTCAGTTATCCAGTGCTGCTATAACAGAAATGGCTTTAATTAGCAAAAATTTATTTTCTCACTGTTGTTGTTACTATGTGCCGTCGAGTTGGACCTGACTCATAGCGACCCCTCCTTGGGTTTCCGAGGCAGTATAACTATGGAAGTAGATTGCCTCATCTTCTTCCAAGGAGTGGCTGATGGGTTTGAACCGACAGCCTTCTAGTTAGCAGTCAAGTGCCTTAGGCAATACGCTACCAGAGCTCCTTTCTCGCTGATTAGGAAGTCAGAAGTCCGAATTTAGGGCATCAGGTCTAGGGGAAGGCTCTCTCTTTGTCTGCTTTGGGGGAAAGTCCTTGGCAATCATGTAACATGTATCTTCCTCTGCTTCCTTGCTTGCTTACCTGCTCTTTTATAACTAAAAAATGATTGACTTAAGGCACATCCTACACTAATACTGTCTCACTAACATAACAAAGAAAACCTATTTGTGAATAGGAATATAGTCACAGGTATAGATTAGGATTTACAACACATAATTTGAGGTGACATAATTCAATCCTAACACCCTAATTTCATAAACAAAATAATTTCCATCCTAAATTAAGATAAACATACTTAAATAGAAAACAGCCTATTCTTACTTGTGATATTCTAGTCTATAATTTCCTCTTTATATTTGAGCAACATTTTAATCATTTTAAAATAATTTTTCCAACTCCAAATTACAGTTACTTTGCTATCTTTTTAAAATGCCATGATAAATATATATCTTTTATTAATGCTGGAATAAAAATATATTTCTATATTTCCTTGATGAGCATACCATGGCAGTTCATGATACAGAATTCACTTTTATGGAATACTTGGTGTTCTAAAAAAGGAGTAATTTTAATTCTTTTTCAGTGAATAGTTCAGGGTCATTTTAGGGCCAGCTGTCCTTTCTACACTTTTACTGTCTTTACAAATTTAAACTTAACTAATGCCCTTGGATTCCTAGGAACTATGATTTATCTTAGAAACATCTGTTCCTCTACTTACTTTTTTTTTTTTTTTTGACATCTCCTTTCCATGATTTTTTTTTTTTTTAATTGTGATTTGGGTGAAAGTTTACAGAGCAAATTCACTTTCCATAGAGCAGTTCACACACATGTTGTCTCATGACATTGACTACAATTTACCCCAATGCAACAGCCTTTCCATGCATTTTAATGCAAAATTTCTTCTTGTCCTTATTTCTCACAATGCAAATTTTTCAACTCTAACTTACCAGTACAATAAATAAAGTTCACATTGTTCTATGGGCCCATAAAATTTTTTAAAAAACTTTTACAATGTATAGGAGCTCTGGGGGCATAGTGCCTAAGGCATTTGCCTGCTAACCAGAAGTCTGGTGGTTAAAACCTGCCAGCCACTTCTCAGAAGGAAGACTGGGGAATACTTCTGTAGAGCTATCGCCTCAGAAACCCAAGGAGGAGCTGTTATGAGTCGGATCCGACTTGATGGCAGTGAGTCTGATTTTTGTTTTTTGTTTGCAATGTCTAGCTGACCATCATAGATTATATGCCTATTACTGAAATCTTTGTTGTTGTTGTTGTTATGTGCCATCGAGTTGGCCCCATCTTATAGCGACCCCTCCTTGGGTTTCTGAGGCGCTATCACTACAGAAGTAGATTGCCCAAACTTCCTTCTGAGAAGTGGCTAGTGGGTTTGAACAGCCAGCCTTCTGGTTAGCAGTCAAATGCCTTAGGCACTATGCCACCAGAGCTCCTAGTCCTTAGAATCATTAATTTCACCTGTTAATTCTTACCATGTAATTTTTGTATGACTACTTCTTGCATTGATTAATATTCATCCCATATTTTATACTCTAAATATTTCACTTTTTAGCTCTCTTCAATTTTTCCTCTTTTTCTAAACACACCTTGTCTGAAAATGCTGTTACCATTAGAATTTTGATATTTTTACTTCCTTTGAACTTTTTATTCTTTGACTGATGTTCTAAAATTTCATTCAACAATTTGTGAGTAACATAATAGGTGTTCAATATAGAATTCATTCATTTGAACTGTAATTGTATTTCCTAATATATATGCTATATACTGTCATCAGTCTAGTCCCAACCCCATCAGCTTTCTCATTTGTAAAATGCAGGTCACATTAGTACTTACATCACCGAATTATTTTGAAAATAAATGAGCTGATACATTTGAAACCCTCTGGTAATACTGAGACTGTTGTGTAATTGTTGTCACTGCTGTTACTATTACTGCTTCTTCATCTGGACTACTTTTAATAGCCTTCAAACTCACCTCAATTGCACCTATTTTTGCCTCCCACCAATCCAACTCTATCCATTATGTAGAATGGATTTTTTTTAAGTTGCAATATTGATACATTACATTGTTGTCTAAAATTTCTCAATGATTCTCATGGCTCTTATAATAAAACTAAGAACCCTGACCCAATCCACAAACTCTCCACTCACCTAGTTTACAGCCTGATCCTATACTATCATACTCCTTGCTTACTTTGCTTTAACCATGGTGATCTATTGATTCTTCAAGTGTCTGAGCCTGTTCCCACTTTCTCTACAAATGAACCATTTTACTTGCATACAAACCTGAATCTCCACCCCTATTACCTGGTTAATATTTCAGATATTAGATTTTATATGTCATATTTTAGTCACTTCTTCAGAGAATCTTTCCTGGATCTTACCAAGCAGGCCAAGTCCCCATTTTCAGGCACTCAAAGCAACTTACACTTCTCCTTCATAACAGTGATCACAACTTTAATAATTTTCACATTTTTAAATCAATTGTTTAATATCTTCTACTCTCACTGGATTGTAAGAGCCTTAACAATAGGGACAATATTTGTTTTACTATGTCCACAGTGCCCAGCACATAGGTTCTTAAGAAATAGCTATTGAATGGTGAAGAATCAATGTTAAACTCACAGAGCTATTGTTAGGATGAAATAAAATAATAAATAAGTCTTTCCTGGCTAGGCTAGCCAAATGAAGAACAATTTCGTGGGTTTAATTTCACTCTTAAAACACACACACACACACACACACACACACAAATAAATAAATAAAATGTCAATACAAATTCTCAGAAAAATAGTGGATACTGAAATATTGTCTTTCTTACTGATGGCATTTCAGTAAAACTGCATAATGAAAATACCATAAATGTGATTAAAAATACATTTTGGAACTGAAGAAAAAGTAAACAGATACCTGGAATGCCACCCAGGTAGGTGACTACTGTTCCATTCATTGCTTTGTCCAGGATGGCAAGTTGACTTTGAAGGTCTTCTGAGTAGATAATATCTTTTCCAAATGTATTCCACAGTTCCAGATTATGTCTATTGACTTTGAATTCCAGATGGGATGGTTGACTGGAACACAAGTTTATGGCCTCTATTCGACATATTACCTTATTTTCAACAGACACCAGGATATCCTGAGGAGTACAGCAGAGACCCAATATATGTGAATATTAATAGTAGTATCATTTATGAGTGAATTTTAATGAAGAAAAAAATTGTATTTTAGAGAGTTAAGTTTAAATAAAAATTTAGTGTTTATTAAAGTAATTATCATTATTAAATACAGATTACTTTTACAAATCTAGCTAAGATGAAAATTTATACTGGTTTCTGAAAAAAAAAAAAAAAACAGGGCTATTTGACCAATATGGATGTAATATTGAATCTTAAGCAAGATGTTTCTGTTTGTAAACTTTTTGAACTTTATGCTGATAATCTTTCCTATCTTCAGAACTAACATGTGAAAAATGAAGAAAGTGAATCACTCTTGTCTTTTGGAAAAGGCTTAAACAACTTAAAGTTCTTTAGTAAGCACACAGCAGAAATGACTGAAATGTTTGTGCCATGTAAGCAATCACAGAGCCAGTGAAAAGGCCCTAAGCAAGAAAAATGAGGGACCCTCAGTAGTAAGTTATAAAATATTCACCAGAAGTTTCTAAAAAAAAAAAAGAAAATGTGTTCATTTTGCTGAACTTTTTGAACTGCTGATACAGCTAAGTTATTCAACTTACTGAAGATAATCTATACATATAATTTATATCTATGTAAAGGAAATGAAAAAAGTAAGAGAGAGGAAGCAAAATTGAAACTAGAGAGACTGACATTGCTAGCCCCCTTCTTGTGGCGCTTATTAGATGGTAGAAAGATTATCTGAAATATTCATTTAAGAATCCAAGATACCTACGTTAACTAAAAAGTCTACACATCATCAATATAAAAACTGGTTTGTTAGAGGAAATCTGTTACTGCTTTACATGTGCACATCCTTGAGTTCATTAAAAGTCTGCAAAGATGGTCCGCTGAGACAGCATTCAATGTGAATGGAATAATGCTATAAAACATTGTACACAGATCTTGAGAAGGGAATTTGACATGCAAAAAGAAAGTGGGGGGAGACAAACACAGAAACAATAAAATAAATATCAAAAACATAGCATAATCTTCCCCACTGCATAAAGATAATGTTAAAGATAGGATTTCTAGATTTCTTAAAAAAAAAAAAAAAGCTATAACGCAAATGTAGTAAGCACTGGAGATTTTAAAAAAAAATCAGCATGATCTTTGTAGGCTGCTTATGGTTAATCACCAGAAACACCCCCAATTATCCTGTAAGCTGCAAACAACACCCTTTTATTATTACAGGCATTATTCAATGATATGCCTCTTTCTGAAAACTGTGGAGAGCATCCAAGCCAAGGAAGGCACAAACACAAGCTTCTTTCTGTAACTTGCTGGAATCCACTGTGAATGGCACATGAACAGAACTATGAGGCCTTAATAGGAGTTTGAATAATACAGATCCTCTGATAATGCTTATGCTTCCTGTTATCCAAGAATTTTTCCTGTTTGTCCTCCTAATTTCAAATCAGAATTGCCAGCAAGAAGCCAGGGGGACTGGTTTTAGTTTTCTTGACTAAGAGTGGAAAAAAAAAAGTACAAAACATTTTTCTTTTTGAACATTTTATTGTGCTTTCAGTGAAAGTTTACACAGTAAATTAACTTTCTACTTAATAATTCATACATAAATTGTTCCATGACATTGGTTGCCATCTCCGCAATGTGTCAGCATCTCTCTCCTTCCCCACCCCTTCCTACCTTCTCATCTTTAATTTTGGGCAAATGTTGCTCTTTTGGTCTCATATACTTGATTGTTCTAACAAGCATATTCTTCACAGGAGCTATTTTTTCTTTTATAGGACAGTCCATTATTGGTTGAGAGGTGGTATCCAGGAGGGGGTTCAGTTCCACATTAGAAGGGTGACTACAAAAAGGGCTTAGAGGAGGCGCCTTCTCACCTCCTCTAACTTCACAAAAGGGAGAGAGAATCACCATCAGTAACATCAGCCCAAGGCTGATTCCTGTGAGGTAAAGGTCAGCCATGCTGCCATCCCTCAGCCATCTACCAGTTCTGACACCAGCCATCCCTCCCATAGTACCCTCTACTTCTCTGCTGGGTTCCATAATTCATTGCAGTGGCTACAGAGAACTCACAGACAATACTCACAATTATGGGGTTAGGTAAGCAACAGGTTACAACTCAGGTTCAGGAATGCTCAGGATACAATTTTTCAATCAGGACAGCTTCCCCTCTGTCATGCCCATAGGCACTCTTCTCTGGCCTGGCATCTGCCCTGCTGGGGCAAGTGTTACAAAGCTCTTTTTGTTCGGCCGATAGGTGCACCCCACTCCACCAGCAAGCCTCCTGCCCCCAAACACTCAGCTTTCTTGCTCAGTGGGCTGGCAAACCCGCTGTTCTGTCTCATGCCGGTTGGTCTCTCAGTTCTGCTGCTGCCGTGTCTCTGTCGGTTGTCTCAGCATAGGGATCTTGGATGGAAGGACACATTCCACTCATGGCTTTTCCTTCTTGATGGCAAAGAGATCCCCCTTTTCTGCCTCTGGGATGGCTCATTTTAAGCCTAGCAAGATGTCAAAACTGACCAATCCCCATGTTAGGGTTCCATAGTCCTACCCCCACAAGGGCACCATGTACATGAATTTACATTATTAAGAAGCTATCCAATCCCTTTGGTGGGTACAAGCACCTATCACTTACATAGTTCCACTCATTTTTTGGTGGGAGTTACAAAGGCCATAGCTAGAAGAGCCATACTAAGTAATCCACTATACCACAGTGACAGTCTCAGGAGTTTCTCTAATCTCTATCAAACCAGCAAGTCTGGCCTTTTTTATAAATCAGTTTTGATCTATATTTTTCCCCCCTTCTAATTGGGACCTTCTATTGTGTCCCTGATCAGAATGGCAGGCAATGGTAGCTGGACACCATCTAGTTCTGGTATCAGGCTAGAGAAGGCTGGCGACCATTAGTCTTTTGGACTAATTGCTTCTTTGAGACTGGAAAGTTCTTCACTTTCCTTTGCTCTGGGTTGGAATAGACCAATAGTTGTATCTTAAATGGCCACTCACAAGCTTTTAAGACTCCAGATGGTATTCACCAAACTAGAATGTAGGGCACTATCTTATTATTTCATATATTGTTGGATGTCTTTATTATTTTTATTATGTATTACATTATGCCAGTTGATCTAGATGTCTCTTGAGGTTATGGTCCTTAGCCTTTAAAACCAGTAGCCCAGTCCTGAGGGGTGTTTGATTATGTCTAAGAAGTTTCCATATCTCTGTCCCCATATGCTCTATTATATATATGAATATCCATGTATCACATACAAATATGTATGGGGAAAAATCCACAACCATACCTATACATGCATGCGGATATAGTCCTATACAACCTCCCACACCTATTCAGTATACATATCTACTTATAAATCCACTCTCAAATTACTATTTGTTATTATGTTTTTGCAGGATTGTATATATTATTTATTGTAGTTGTCCTTTATTCTTTGTATACTTTTTAGTGTCCTCCTTTGCCTTGGTCACATAGTGCTGACTTCATATTGTGCATAGCCTTTCCCTGCACTAGAATTAACATGTATCTAGTATCTAGTTAGTGATTCTCCCTTCCTTCCCCTCCCATCCCTGGTAACCATCAAAGAATGTTTCTTTCTGTGTGTAAACCTATTCTTGACTTTTTATAATAGTGATCTCATACAATATTTGTCCTTTTGTGATTGATTTTTTAATTCAATATAATCTTCTCCAGGTTAATTCACGTTGTGAAATGTTTCTTGGATTCATCATTATTAAATTGCACAGTATTCCATTGTATGTATATATCACAATTTATTTATCCATTCATCGATTGGTAGAGACTTAGGTTGTTTCTGTCTTTTTGTTACTGTGAATAATGCTGCAATAAACAAGGTGTGCATATGTTTACTTGTGTCACAACTCTTATTTCTCTAGGATATATACCTAGGAATGGGAATGCTGGATCATATGGAATTTCTATTTCTAGCTTTTTAAGGAAGTGACATATCATTTTACATGATGGTTGTTCCATAGCACAAAACATTTTAATTATGCATCGACTATATGAGAGTGATTGTAAACATATTCATTTCTATTTTGTTAATACAGATGAATGCTCATGATGCATGAAGTCCAGATATGGGTTTCTATGTACTCTGTGATATCTCCAAGGAACCTGTAGGTGTCTGTCTGATCTTAGCTATATGCAATAGATACAATTCCCAAACCCCAGTTCAGATGTTGGAAATAGGCCAGCAAAAATTTACAATGAACAGATTATGTGTGCTTAATAATGTGCTACCAGAGACTGTGCAAACTAGTTTACATGAATGATCTCATTTAATATTTTAAATAGCTCTTTGAGTATATGCTGCTATTATATCCATTTTAAAGATGAAATAAAACATTCAAAAGGTTTACAGTAAAAGTTACCTGAAATTTTCCAGAGATGGAGTCCACCAAGGACAAGGCGAAGGGCACTGTTTTATCAGAAACCAAGGCAAGCATGACACCAGTGCTCGTGGATGGGCGGATATTCAAGGTCCCACTTATCTGCCAACCCTCAGCATTGGATGTGTTTTCTGTTTAAAGCAAAGAAAACAGGTATAGATCAGTACAAAACTGCACCAACAGTGCACCAACCAAACCCACTGCCATCAAATGTATTCTGACTTATAACAACACTATAGAGAGAATAAAATTGCCTCATAGGGTTTCCAAGACTATAAATCTTTACAGAAGCAGACTGCCTCATCTTTTTCCCCACGAAGCTGCTGGTGGATTCAAACTGCCAAGCTTTTTTAGCAGCCCAATGCTTTAATCATAGCACCACTAGAGCTTCTTTAAAGTGTACCAGAAGGAAATATTGTAATCTGATTGACACTCAAATTCATCTTTGTATAACACTAGAGCTTTTAGTTCTCCTATCTCAATGATCTATATAATATAGGCAAAACAAATACATTTAAAAGTTTCTTAAAATATACACAAGAAACATACTAATAGAGTTTCTTGATTCTGTTGTTCATCCCAGAATAGAATTGCTTCTGAGTTTTCCCTATTTACTCTTTAACAGCTCTTCCTTCTGGCTGAGTATTCTGCAATGTTCAAATCTCAGAGTGGTCACATTTTGAAGTACACATTTAGAAGGAAGTGGTTCAGCATGTTTATTGTAATACAATGAGGTAAAATTCAGGTACACCTACCACCACTCCTTATATAAAGAGATCAGCTTCAAGAATGGGAAGGATAATAATAATAAATATATATATATTATATATATATATATATGTACTATACTACAAGTTGGATATATATATATGTTGTTTTTGTTGTTGTTTGCCGTCGAGTCGGCCCTGACTCATAGCGACCCCTCCTTGGGTTTCCGAGGCAGTATCACTACGGAAGTAGGATTGCCCAACCTTCCTTCCGAGGAGTGGCTGGTGGGTTTGAACTGCCAGCCTTCTGGTTAGTAGTCAAGTGCCTTAGGCACTATGCTACCGGAGCTCCCGTATATATATATCAGGAAGTTGGATAATCTGATAGTAGAGAAATATTTGGAACTCAGCATTAATTTTGAAATTAGAATCTTGTTCCATGATTCTTTTAATACTCCCTATTCTTCAATAATCTCAATTATCAGGTTAACTTTCTGCCCTAGTAGAGTGCAAGCTCTGGAAGGTACATGTCTCTAGAACTTTGTTTTCCACAGTAGTCACTCAATAAATATTTGTTGAATTAATATCCTGCCAAAGTAGTTGGATTCCTAAAAGTAATAGTTCACTATCTGAATGAAGTCTTCCTCATTTAACATGAAGAAATATATAACAAAAGCTCAAATACCATTTTGGGCCTTTGAAAAGTGAATGCAAATGGTGAAAATAATTTTCCTTTGATAAGACGTTGCTAAAGTGTCAGTGAGGCCACATCTTCTGACCTCTTCTAACCCCACAAGAGGAAGACAGAATCACCATCAGTAGCCCAAGGCCTATCCCTGTGATGCCAGACATGCCAACTCCCTCCAGCCCATTCACCAACCCTGACACCAACTGTTCCTCCTGCAGCACCCACCAACTCTCTGCTGGGTTCAATAATTTGCTGCAGTGGCCACATAGAACTCACAAATTATGGGCTTTATTAAGGAAGCAACAGGCCACAATTCACATTCAGAAATGCACTCAGTCTATCATAGCCAACCATCTCACTTAGCAGCTGGCAGTCTCAGTAGCATATTTCTCTCTCAGTAGTGCATGCCTCTTGCATCGCTCTCTCAGCAGTGTGTGTCTCTCCCATCTCTCAGGAGCACATTTCTCTCAGCAGCACGTCTTTCTCAGCCAGCAGTCAGAGACTCATTCTGCCTATAGGAGGGCTCCTTTTGAACCTGGCAAATGGGCAAACTAACTAATCCCAACATCACAGTTCTATACACCTGAGAGAGCACATGAACTTCCCAGAAAATGACTTCGTGCTGCTCCCAACAGAAATACCTAGGGTGGATAACATTAACAATCAGGAGCTACTCAGTTGCTCATGGCATATTTCACCACAGAGTTTACAAAGACTGATGGCTAGAAAAGCTACACTATGCAATTTACTACACTGCAGACGTTCTCTCAATTAGACACGTTTAATACAACTTTATTTTTCACTCTAATCCTTGATCTTCTATGCATAAAAAATATATCATTTTGAAATAAATACATTTAATATAAGATATTAACAAAGAAAAACTAACATGAACAAGCAAATGTTGTTGTTATTGTTATTAGGTGCTGTTGAGTGGTCTCTGACTCATAGCCACTCTATGCACAGCAGAACGAAACACTGCCCAGTCCTGTGCCAGCTCCGTGATCTCTGCTATGCTTGAGCCCATCACCACAGCCACTGTGTCAATCCATCTTGTTGAGGGCCATCCCCGCTTTTGTCCACCCTGCACCTTACCAAGCATGACACCCTTCTCCAGAGAATGGTCCCTTCTGACAACATGACCAAAGCAGGTGAGACAAATACTGGCCATTGTTGCTTCCAAGGAGCATTCCAGCTACACTCCCTCCAGGACAGATTCGTTAATTCTTTTAGCAGTCCATGGTACCTTCAGCATTCTTCACCAGCACCACAGTTCAAAAGCATCAATTCCTCTTCAGTCTTCTTTATTCATTATCCAGCTCTCACATGCATACGAGGTGATTGAAAATATCCTAGCTTGTGTCAGGTGCACCTTAGTCCTCAAGGAGACATCATTGCTCCTTGAACCTCCTTGAACAAGGTCCTTCGCAGCTGACTTGCCCAGTGCTATACATCGTCTGATGTCCTGACTGCTGCTTCCATTGGCATCAATTGTAGAACCAAGCGATGTGAAGTCTTTGACAACGTCAATCTTTTCTCCATTTATCGTGATGCTGCTTATAGGCCCAGTTGGGAGGATTTTTGTTTTTTTTATATTGAAATGCAATCCATACTGCAGACTGTATTCTTCAATCTTCATCAGTAAGTGCTTCAAGTCATCCTCACTTTCAGCAAGCAAAGCTGTGTCATCAGCATAACGCAGGTTGTTAATGATTCTTCCTCCAATCTTGATGCCACTTTCTTCTTCATATAGTCCAGCTTCTCAGATTATTTGATCAGCATACAGATTGAATAAGTATGGTGAAATGATACAACCCCAACACACTCTCTTCTTGATTTTAAACCATGCAGTGTCCCCTTGTTCTGTTCTAACAACAGCCTCCTGGTCTATGTACAGGTTCCTCATGAGAACAATTAAGTGTTCTGGAATTCCCATTCTTCTCAATGTTATCCACAATCTGTTATGATCCACACAATCAAATGCTTTTGCATAGTCAATAAAATACACCTAAACATCTTTCTGGTATTCTTTGCTTTGACCCAGATCCATCTGACATCAGCAATGATATCCCTTGTTCAACGTCCTGTTCTGAATCCAGCCTGAACCTCTGGAAGTTCTCTGTCAATATACTGCTGCCACCACTTTTGAATTATCTTCAGTAAGAGTTTTACTTGCATGTGATATTAGTGATATTGTTCAATAATTTCCACATTCTGTGGAATCACATTTCTTTGGAATGGATATAAATATGGATCTCTTCCAGTCAGTTGGCCAGTTAGCTGTCTTCCAAATCTTTTGGCATAGCCGAGTGAGTGCCTCCAGCAGGGCATCTGTTTGTTGAAACATCTCAATGGGTATTCCATCAATTCCTGGAGCCTTGTTTTTCACCAATTCCTTCAGTGCAGCTTTGACTTTTTCCTTCAAAACCATTGGTTCTTGATCATATGCCACCTCCTGAAATGGATGAACATTGACCAGTTCTTTTTGGTATAGTGATTCTGTGTATTCCTTCCATCTTCTTTTGATGCTTCCTGGATCATTCAATAAATTGCTCACAGAATCTTTCAATATTGCCACTCAAGGCTTAAATTTTTTCCTTAGTTCTTTCAGCTTGAGAAATGCCAAGTGTGTTCTTCCCTTTCAGTTTTCTAACTCCAGGTCTTTGCACATTTCATTATACTAATTGACTTTGTCTTCTCAAGCTGCTCTTTGAAATCTTCTGTTCAGCTCTTTGATCTTGTCATTTCTTCATTTGCTAGCTACTCTCCATTCAAGGGCAAGTTTCAGAGTCTCTTCTGACATCCATTTTGGTCTTTCCTTCTTTTCTCATCTTTTTAATGAGCTCTTGCTTTCTTTATGGACAATATTCCTGATGTCATCCCACAATTCTTCTGGTTTTCTGGCATTGGTGTACAATCTATCAAATCTATTCTTTAGATGGTCTCTAAATTCAGGAGGGATATATTCAAGATCATATTTTGGCTCTTGTGGACTTGTTTAAATTGTCTTCAACTTCAAATTGAATTTGCATATGAGCAATTGATGGTCTGTTCCACAATCAGCTCCTGGCCTTGGTTTGGCTGAAGATATTGCGCTTTTCCATCATCTCTTGCCACAGATGTAGTCAATCTGATTCCTGTGTATTCCATCTGGCAAAGTCCATGTGTATAGCCACTGTTCATGTTGTTGAAAAAAGGTATTTGCAATGAATAAGTCGTTGGTCTTGCAAAATTCTATCATGCAATCTCCCGCGTTATTTCTGTAACTAAGGCCAAATTTTCCAGCTACCGGTGATTCTTCTTTGTTTCCAACTTCTGTGTTCAGTCACCAATGATAATTAACACATCTTCATTGCACGTTTGGTCAATTTCAGACTGCAGAAGTTGATAAAATTCTTTAATTTCTTCATCTTTGGCTCTGGTGGTTGGTACATAAACTTGAATAATAGTCATATTAATGTGTCTTCCTTATAGGTGTATTGATATTATCCTATTACTGACAGCATTGTACTAAGGATAAATCTTGAAACATCCTTTGTGATGATGAATGCCATGCCATTCCTCTTCAAATTGTCATTTCTGGCATAGCAGATCATATGGCTGTCTGATTCAAAATGGCCAAAACCAGTCCATTTCAGCTCACTAATGCCTTGGATATCAATGTTTATGTGTTTCATTTCATTTTTGACAACTTTCAGTTTTCCTAGATTCATACTTCATACATTCTATGTTCCAATTTTAATAGAAATTTGTACAGTTTCTCCTCAATTTGAGTTGTGCCACATCAGCAAATGGAGGTCTCGAAAGCTTTATTTTATCCATATCATTAAGGCTGGTTCTACGCGGATGATATAGCTCTTTCCTAGTCACATTTTGAAAGCCTTCTGACATAAGGGGCTCGTCCTCCTGCACTGTATCAGACTCGAACAGCTAATCAAGACAAACTTGTGTGTCAGTTTGTCATACTATTGTGGCTTGCATGTTGCTGTGAGGCTTGAGGCTGTGCCACTGGTGTTTCAAGTGCCAGCAGGGTTGCACATGGTGCACAGGTTTCAATGCAGCTTACAGACTGAGATGGACTAGGAAGAAGGAAGAGGCCATCCACTTCTCAAAGAACTGGCCAGGGAAACCCTTACGAATAGCAGAGAAACTCTGATAAGCAAATGTACAGAATTAATAATCTAACATCATATATTAATTATAAAATAAACTTTCAAGTTATTCATGAAATAACTAATATCTTATTAAAGTTTTTTTTTTCAGTACAATAAACTCTTATATTCTTTCTTTTTCAGGATTTTTTTTCCTTTGAACAAATCACTATGAGTTTAAGAATTTCCTTTCTTACATTTGCTCAAAACCATTTAATACATTTTTTAAAAGTCCTTTATACATAGAACAGAGCTCATTAAAGGCAATGAATTAATAAATTCAGGAAAACTGAAAGCATCAGTGTAAGTACTCTTCCTGAACAAATCCAAATATAATTTGTCTTAAAAACAGAAATATCTGAATTATTACTATACTTAGTTTATAATGTACAGTAGCTCAAATAGTCCTAAAAAATTTCTAAAACAGAAAACCCAACAAAATAATTAAGATGTACAAATTGCTAATAAACATATGAAGATATTAAATATCAACAAAAATTAGAAAAATAATATTTAAAAATACAAGATTTAATTTTTTAACGATCAGATTGGAAACAAATTTCAAGCATGTAAACTCTCTCACTCTATTGGTACAAATAAAAATTGATAAAACATTTTTGGAAGAGAATCTGATCAAACCTGTAAGAATTGTATATTTGCATAACCTTTGAAGAAAATAATGTAATATTAAGATTGTATCCTACGGAATTAATCATATCAGGTTAAATAATGTATAGCAAAGGATGGTCATGGAAGCAGTATTTAAAAAGGTAAAAACCTGAGGTCAGTCTGGCAAGACTTCCTTCTCTGTTTAGAAAATTGAGTACTACTCCTACCCTTAGAATAACAACAAAAGCCAAATAATCTCCATAATCAAGTTTTCCTTGAATCATCAAAGAGCTGAGGTTGCAGAATAACCAACTAATCGAAATCTCACAAAAAGATAGGCACTTCCAGGGAGGGACAGGATAATACTTGCTTACCTGGGCAGACACCAGCTATCCTGGTAAAAGGAAGTCTGGTAAAAATTTTAACAAATTGCTAAAATTTTAGTGTAAGCTGATTGTAAGGGTATAGAACCCCTGGGAACTCCAGATACAAGGGGAATTCATAGTCATGCACAGGATCTTCTCCATAGACTTTACCATATGCTCAAGAGTAAAATGGGGGGCAGAGAATGCTTCCCCTCTAGCACAAGCCTTGGAGAGGGAGTAGAACCAGCTTCAGGAAAGGCACCAACCCCACCCAGATCTTCTCTATCTCCGCTATAGAACAAAAGCCTAAGGCACCAGGGGAAAAGGCAACACTGTTGCCATTAGTATATTTGTGAAAAGCCATTGCATCTATGAAATAGGAGAACAAAATGGGAGGGAGAAAAAACAAAAACAAAAACCTCCAGTTTGAAGAAGGAACAAGAAAACACCTAAATCCTAACCAACACAAATCTTCCTTACTTCTCAGGGATGGGGAGGTGGGGAAGTGGAAGGAACACTGACTGAAGAGTTCAAAAACCCTGAGACTTAGGGGTACAACACCAAGACTGGATCTGTACCAGAAGAATAAGAATGATTCCCAGTCCCAAATCCCCTCCACCAGGCTGGCAAATGTAAAATAACAAATAATAGTACTCAGCTAGGGAAGCGTGAGGGAAGGGTGAAGGCAGGGGTATGGACTATACCTTCTTAAGGCATAGTCCTAAAGGGAATACCTAAAGCTGAGGATGAAATAGTTGTTAAGAAAAACTTTCTGGCACACTAGCCCCTACCCTAAGCATAAGGCAATGTTAAAGGTCTGATGCCTATGAGGCATTGATGGTAATCATGGTAACACCAAAGCCCAAGCATCACAGACTAAAATTGTTTTACTCTGCCACACAGTCTACCAAAAGAAGAGATGTCTTCATTTCCAGGCATAAATATTATATATTTCAGTCCTCTACTGTCGTACATAAAATATCTACTTTTAAACCAAAAATCATGAGATATACAAACAAGTAAGAAAAAAAGAAGCACAGGCACAGTCAAGAGACAAAGCAATCACCAGGAAACAACTCAGATATGACACAGATGTCGGTATTATCCGACAGCAAATTAATTATGATTAATACATATTCAAGCTTCTAGTGGAAAAGGTAGATAAGATTAATAAACAGGGAGTTTTGGCAGAGATGTGAAAACTAAGAAAGAATCAAATGAAAATGCTAGAAAAGAAGAATCTTGTTGATGTTCTTCTCAATAGACTCCACACAGCAGAGAAATCAGTAAATTTTAAATAACATAAGTATATTCAATTATATATA